GATTGATCAGATTAACAATGATTATTAGATTAAAGTGATCATGTAAGGTTATTAATACAGGAAGCAGGGCATCATGGGAGTCCTGTTGGATGGCGCATGCTCCAGTAGATGCGGTTTGTATGGAAACCGATAGGGAAGATGGCCGCCTTGTTGTGAAAGGCCTTCATCTGCTGTGGGAAGAGCCTCCCGATGGCGTGGAACAGCAGGCTGCCCACCCGGAAGGTGTGTCGCCCCTCGCCACGCTGCACCACGGCAGCGATCTGCCGCGCCTCGTCCCGCTGCACAAACACCCGGCGGAACACGGCGAAACAACGCAGCTCGCAGTCATAGGGGTCGCACACCGCCACAGGGTCAAAGGTAGGACAAGGGGTGGAGGAGGGGGAGTTGCTGGATGACCGCTCGGCTCCGAGAGGAACGGCCCGGGGCTTATGGAGGTGGCACAGCATGGTTTTGTCCTGGGAGAGGTGGGGGGGTTACTATGTGTGTGTGGGTGTATGGTGTGTTTCACAGTGTGTTAGTGTGCGTGTTCTACCTTGAAGAAGGTGCAGTGGGCCTGCAAGGCACAGGTGAAGTGGTACGTGTTGGTGCAGCGGAGGCGGTTGCAGCCGCTGGTGGCTCCGGCCCTCTGGCAAAAGGCGCAGCGCAAAGACAGACTCCTCCTCAGAGCGAGCTCCACGTTGATCAGAGCTCCGGCCTGAGTCTCGTACACCTCGCTGGACCACAGGGCGCAGTTCAGGTGGACCTGACACACAGAGATGGGCCATCAACCAAGCTTCTGGTGGCCTGTCAGATCCGACTGGGCAGTTTCATATCACCGGACTCTGCTGGTCCCCGCAGGTCCAGACTCACCCACAGGTCCAGGTCCAGGTTCAGCAGTCTGGCTGGTCCGTCCGTCTGCCCGTCTCCCTGCTGGTTACAGAAGCAGCACCTCCGCTGATCTTTGGGTAACGGATCAGGACGAAGACACGCTCCCAGTTTACTCAATAGTATGTCCACTTCCTCCTCCGTTGGCACGGCAACCGTCTCATTAGGGATGGAAGTGCCCCTGCAATGAAAGATATGTTATATCTTCTAAGACAGACCGAGGCACAGGCGAGGAGGTAGAGTAGCAGCTATTTCTGACTAGGCTTTTAATAAACCTTAAACCTAAACTAGATAATAACCCTTTCGAAAGACTGGTTCTCAGCCTTTCGCAACCAACCTGAAAAAAGATACAACCGGTCCTCTCTGTTGTGTTGTTCTGGGCCCTAGGTCCTTATTTAGAATTTTTACATTTTTTTCCCCAGAGAGTTCTTATCAATTTTGTCCTTAAAAAACGGGTGATTGTAAGATGCCTGCTTGCATGGCCTCTCTTCCATCAACGTTGATCAAATGATCAAAGTTTTTGCTTTAGTTAGCACATCCTTATTAGATATTATGAATCTGTCTTTGTTGACAGCACATGTACCACAGTCCTTCAAGGTAGCTGTAATTAAACCTCTTCTTAAGAAACCTACTCATGCTCCAGAAGTGTTGGCTAACTACAGACCTATCTCTAATCTTCCCTTCCTCTCCAAGATCCTTGAGAAATCCGTCGCAAATCAATCATGTGACTTTCTACAAAACAATGCTTTGTTTGAGGATTTCCAGTCAGGATTTTGCCTGCATCATAGTACAGAAACAGCACTGGTGAAAATTACGAATGATCTACTTGCATCGGACCAAGGACTCATCTCTTTTCTTGCTGGACCTGAATAGTCTCTCTCTCTCTCTATCGAGGGTTACATCTGATGGCGGTTGCCCCTGCAGTGGTCCTGGCGTACACGTGGCTTACTACTCTCAATATTTGAATAATCTTGAATGTATTGTACATCTTTTACGTTGTTCATTCTGTATACATTACATATTTTGCATTCTGTCCACCCTGATAGGGATCCTCCTCTGCCATTCTCCCTCTAAGGTTTATTCTTATTCTCCCTTTTAAAATTTGACTTTAAAGGCCCCGGAGGCAAATTCGTAATTTGTGGTTTTGGGCAATACAATTGAATTGATTAACAGGCTCAATGTAATGCTAACACCTAATAGGCTAACCAGCTCTGTCTGATGCTAATAGACAAACCTGCTTAGAGTGATGCTAAAACTCCAGCGTCTCCAGCGGTTACTCTTCATCCTCTTCCCTCGGCGAGACGCCAGTGCGTCGTCTACAACTGGGACTGCCCGGGGGCGAGGCTTCAACTTCACCGTCACCTATAAAAGAAAAACAGAGTCATTAAATCATTGAATCAATCAACCGAGAGATTAGCTACAACCTTTGGTTATTAAGTCAGGAACACCTACCTTGAGGCGGTCCATGCGGGGCCTGGTCTCCATGGTGATGGCAGAGGCGGGGGGGAAAGAGAGTGGTGGGGAGGAGGTTGGGGCAGGGGAGGAGGGAGTGTGGAGGAGCGAGTGGACGGCTATGGAGGACATGTTGCTGGTGTACAGGTGGTGCACTCTGCTGGGAGGGGGGTGCTCAGAGACCGCATCCTGCAGACAGAAGGACATCATGCCATGACATCATCAAACAGTAAACAACGTCAAGGAGTTTGGAGATCAATAACGTGATCCCTCACCTTGTTCCCAGCTCTTCTGTTCTGCAGGTCCGATGTGTAGAGAGCAGAGCAGTTTGGACTACAGAAAAGCAAACTGGAGCTGGACTGACCTTCCTGTAAGACACACACACGCACAGTGACTTCCTGTCTGCCATCTTTGTTTTTTCACTGTCTTACACACTTCTCTACTGCCTCCAACCTGTTTAAGATCCTTAAAAATTTGGACTCCGTTTCCCAGGAGCATCTTGCAGTAGGTGCAACACGGAGACCTGGCAGTGGATGTGCAGCCCGGTTGAGTGTGGTCCATTCTGACAGCTGAAGGGAAACGCACAAACACACATACACAAAAAGAGCTTTTCAATAGTAGATCACAGGTTTGCTTATGTGTATCTATATATGTATGTATATTACTGCATGTTTTTACATACCAGTGTTTCCAGCCGCAGGTCTCTGCTGATTGTTTCCTGTTGAACTCTGAACACATCAAACAGTCAGTGTGTGTGAATCGCTTTCAGAATGACTTTTATTCACTACATTCGGAGTGTACTAAGTATAAATACACGTGGCACACGTACATGTAAGGCTGTCACAATATCAACTTTGTGAACATTCTTTGCGATAAATTATATTATTGCAACTTTATGCCACTGATGACATAGTAACAATACAATAGCATAGTAATACAAGTACGCTCTTTCAAGGACAAAACCCGTTTTATTCATCAGAATAAAAGATTCTGATTTAGACGTTAGAATCGTTCTTACTCCGTTAGAATCGTTCTTACTCCGTTAGAATCGTTCCTCTCTGGGAACCGTCACCTTATTGTGGTGGAGAGGTTTGTGTGTCCCTATGAACCTGAGGGCTGTGTTGTCGGGAGCCTTGTGCTCCTGGTAGGGTTACCCTTGGCAAAGTGGTCTCAGGCGAGGGGCCAGACTAAGAATGGTTCAAGACCCCCATGAAAAAACGGAAGAGGGAAGGAGTTACCCGGCCCGGAGGAAGCCCGGGGCCCCCATTTGGAGCCAGGCCCAGATGGAGGGCCCCGACAGCGAGCGTCTGGTGGCCGGGTATACCGCGGAGCCCGGCCGGGCACAGCCCGAAGGGAGTGACGCGGCAGGCTACACTCTACTCCCATGGGCTCACCACCTGTGGAGGAAACCGATGGGGTCGGGTGCGGCTGCTACAAGGGTGGCAGTGACAGTGGGGGGGTCTAGACGGAACAGACCTGGGCGGCAGATGCTGGCTCTGGGGACGTGGAACGTAACCTCTCTGGGGGAGAAGGAGCCGGAGCTTGTGCGGGAGGTGGAGCGTTATCAGTTGGATCTGGTGGGGCTTACCTCTACGCACAGCCTCGGCTCTGAACCAAACTCCTGGATAGGGGGTGGACTCTATTCTACTCCGGAGTGGCCCATGTTGTGAGGCGCCAGGCGGGTGTGGGGATACTCATAAGTCCCCGGCTGAGTGCTGCTACATTGGAGTTTACCCCAGTGGACAAAAGGGTCGCCTCCCTACGCCTTCGGGTGGTGGGGGGGAAAACTCTGACTGTTGTCTGTGCATATGCACCAAACAGCAGCTCAGAGTATTCGGCCTTTTTGGAGACCCTGAATGGAGTCCTGCATGGGGCTCCTGTAGGGGACTCCATAGTCCTACTGGGAGACTTCAATGCGCACGTGGGCGACGATGGAGATAACTGGAGAGGCGTGATTGGGAGGAATGGCCTCCCTGATCTGAACCCGAGCGGGTGTTTGTTACTGGACTTCTGTGCTAGTCACGGATTGTCCATAACAAACACCATGTTCGAACATAAGGATGTTCATAAGTGTACGTGGTACCAGAGCACCCTAGGCCAAAGATCAATGATCGATTTTGTAATCGTATCGTCTGATCTGAGGCCGCATGTTCTGGACACTTGGGTAAAGAGAGGGGCAGAGCTGTCAACTGATCACCATCTGGTTGTGAGCTGGGTCAGAGGATGGGGGAAGACTCGGGACAGACCCGGTAAACCCAAGCGTGTAGTGAGGGTGAACTGGGAACGTCTGGAGGAGGCCCCGGTCCAAAAGATTTTCAACTCACACCTCCGGCGGAGCTTCTCTCACATTCCTGTGGAGGTAGGGGACATTGAACCAGAGTGGTCTATGTTCAAAACCTCCATTGCTGAAGCCGCGGCGGTGAGTTGTGGCCTCAAGGTCTTAGGTGCATCAAGGGGCGGTAACCCTCGAACTCCGTGGTGGACACCGGTGGTCAGGGAAGCCGTCCGACTGAAGAAGGAGGCCTTCCGGGTTATGATATCCGGTGGGACTCCAGAGGCAGTTGCAGTGTACCGACAGGCTCGAAGGGCAGCAGCCTCTGCCGTGATGGAGGCAAAGCAGCGAGTATGGGAGGAGTTCGGGGTAACTATGGAGAAGGACTTTCGGTCGGCACCAAAATGTTTTTGGAAGACCATCCGGCACCTCAGGAGGGGGAAACGGGGAACCATCCAAGCTGTGTACAGTAAGGATGGGACCCTGTTGACCGCGACTGAGGAGGTTATCGGGCGGTGGAAGGAACACTTTGAGGAACTCCTGAACCCAACTACTACGCCCTCTTTGGTGGAGGCGGAGCTGGAGGCGGAGGAGGGATCATCGTCAATTAGCCTGGTGGAAGTCACTGAGGTAGTCAAACAACTCCGCAGTGGCAAAGCCCCGGGGATTGATGAGATCCGTCCAGAGATGCTAAAAGCAATGGGTGTTGGGGGGTTGTCTTGGATGACACGCCTCTTCAACATTGCGTGGAAGTCTGGGACAGTGCCAAAAGAGTGGCAGATCGGGATGGTGGTACCCCTCTTCAAAAAGGGGGACCAGAGAGTGTGTGCCAATTACAGGGGTATCACACTACTCAGCCTCCCGGGTAAAGTCTACTCTAAGGTGCTGGAAAGGAGGGTTCGGCCGATAGTCGAACCAAGGATTGAAGAGGAACAATGCGGCTTTCGTCCTGGTCGTGGAACAACGGACCAGCTCTTTACTCTTTCCAGGATCATAGAGGGGGCTTGGGAGTATGCTCAACCAGTCTACAGGTGTTTTGTGGACTTGGAGAAGGCGTATGACCGGATCCCCCGAGAGATACTGTGGGAGGTGCTGCGGGAGTACGGGGTGAGGGGGTCCTTGCTTGGGGCCATCCAATCCTTGTACACCCAAAGCGAGAGCTGTGTTCGGGTGCTCGGCAGTAAGTCAAAGGCGTTTCCGGTGGGGGTTGGCCTTCGCCAGGGCTGCGCCTTGTCACCAATCTTGTTTGTGGTCTTCATGGACAGGATATCGAGGCGTAGTCGGGGGGGAGGAGGGTCTACACTGCTTTTTGCAGATGATGTGGTCCTGATGGCATCTTCCGTCTGTGACCTCCAACTCTCACTGGAGCGTTTCGCAGTGGAGTGTGAAGCGGTCGGGATGAGGATTAGCACCTCTAAATCTGAGGCCATGGTTCTCAGCAGGAAACCGATGGATTGCCTACTCCAGGTAGGGAATGTGTCCTTACCCCAAGTGAAGGAGTTCAAGTACCTCGGGGTCTTGTTCACGAGTGAGGGGAAGATGGAGTGTGAGTTTGGCCGGAGAATCGGAGCAGCGGGGGCGGTATTGCACTCGCTTTACCGCACCGTTGTGACGAAAAGAGAGCTGAGCCGGAAGGCAAAGCTCTCGATCTACCGGTCAATCTTCGTTCCTAAGTGCAAGGGACACGGAGCGGGCGAAGGATCGTGCTCGGTGCGATGAGCAGACAAGAGGACAGCGCGATCGACTAAATGTTGGAGACATTCAATAACGATGGTCGACGGTGGTGCATGGAGTAGAGAGGGTGCACTGGGAACCGCACGGTTGGTGGTTCGAGTCCCTGGCCGTCCCTGAGCCAAGACGCCGAACCCCTAATTTTGCTTCCCAGGCAAAATGTAAAAAGCCATGAGTTAAAAATGTAAGTCACTTTGGATAAAAGCGTCAGCTAAATTACCTGTAATGTAATTTAATTGTAAAATGAATATCGCGCCACCCAAAATGATCACACTCATTTTTATATATTGTGCGATCGGCCAATATATTGCATATCGCGTCAGGCCTACGCTCCTGCAGTATTTGCTCCCACCTGTGTGAGTCCAGCAGGAACAGTAGCTGTACTCAGCTGGTAGTTGGAGGGGGGGGCGACCCGCTCAGCTCAGCAACCGCCGTCATCACATCCGCTACATTCTGTACACAGAGTCACAGTGATGTCTTCGGGAGGGAGGGGCAACACACACACACACACACACACACACACACACACACACACACACACACATACACACACACACACACACACGCACACACACACACACACACACACACACACACAAACACACACAAAAAACACACACACACACACACACACACACACTTACCTGAGCCGCAACAGGGTTCAGCGTTATTGCTATGGTTACCAGGTCAGGTTTTGAGCATGAGGCACGACGCTGGTTAGGCTCCACCTTCACTTCTTGTTTCACTGTGAGACACACACACGTGAGAAAGTGTTTTAATGAAGTGTTGATCTTTTCTATTCACATAAAAACGACAACCCCGACAAAGTACTGCAGTACCAGCTAAAGTAGTGAGGACACCTCCTGCCAGTCACACCGAGGTGAAAGCAAACGTTACATCTGGTATCACGGCAATGACTGACCTTTTTCCCAGGCGCAGGGCATCATGGGTAGTGTAGGCGAAAGGCAGGGTGATGGTGTCTCCAGTTTGACCCAGGAGAGGTCGGGGTACCTGCTGACCTCCATGTCAGCCACGCTCTCTGGAGAAGACGACGGGACGTAGCCTCCCGGGCTGTCGCGCCCAGACAAGTCTTGGACCCTGTGGAAAAAAAACACACAAAGAAGAAGGTCGATGAAACATGTCAAAGGCTGGATGGAGAGAAGGCCACAATGACGATCAGTATAAAGTGTATTCTACACAATACTAATAACAAAGAACAGATGGCTCATTCTTATCAACCTTTAAAAGAAGACTTTTGATCAGAGTATCAGTGGGAGGAGTTTACCTGAGCTCTTCCTGGTTGTTGTGGGGCGGGGTGGGCAGGGAGGCGGGAACATCAACTGTCCTGGGAGTGTGGTTTAGAGCAAGAAGCCCCTCTCCTTTCTTGACATATT